AACGTTTGACAAAAGCTACGATTGCTGTATGCTTGGAAACACTGGTCGCGCGTAGAAAAAACAGGCGCAAATTTCTTAGGTCCTCTTCCCCTCTTTTTTGTCTTTTTCTCCCATGTAAATAGCCATTCGCGTCCTCGACGCTACTCACGCGGAGCATTGACGGCGACCGCTTCGATTTCATTAACACTTTCTCCCATTCGCGTTTGTTTGTACAACAAGGATCGTTATACACACCGACCGTTTTTCCATTAGTTCATGAAATAGTATTCGTTAAACCGCGCGTATTTGAACTAACGTTTAACCGGAAAACTCGCTTCGACGTCCCAATGTCAATTTGCACTGGTCGACTAAGGAACCTTGAGCTTGCAACTTCGTCGGCATCGGGACGAATACGATATTGCTACGATAGATTTTTTAGAGGTGTACTCGTGTGATTGGCAGGGAACGGGTTAACTTTTTAAGGAGGAACTCTCAATCATGGTTATTGATTTCCGATGATTTTCAAAATAAACTGTTGTTAATTCCTATGCAATTATTTTAGTCATTTATTAAAGTGGTCTATATTTTCACCTGGAAAGCAAGAATCGAAAATAATCTTAGTTTAGATAAAAGCAGTTATATCTTGGGAACTAGAATTCTGTTAACGTTGAGAATAGCTTTTTTCCTTTATCGCCTAAAGTAGTTAAAAGTAAAATTAAAATACTAATTTTAATGAATTACTGTTTCGTATGAACGTCAGTTCGTTAAGAAAATTTGTCTTATCTTATTTTGGTTGAATCGATAAATACTTACTTATCTTTGATTTTGTTTTAAAATTATAAATATCATAATTACGCTAATACAATTATTAATACAATTATAAATACAATTATAATGAAATGCAAACGAAATGAGGTATATTTTTTGCGATACCAATAAACGTGAAACTTGTTTTAACTTGTAAAACGACGCAGTACCGTTTGTTTTAAAACAGCTAGGAAACCGCAACGTGCAACTGTAGGAAAGAAACTTGCTCGATATATATCTCGTTAAACTCTTTTTACTCTATCCTCTGTAATCTCTAATATAATTGCCACCAAGGAAAAACGACGTTAGTCATTCTGTGCAAATTTCTATCGCATATTGTAATCTAAAACAATCCACTTATATTTTTTAATTAACATTGATTGTGAACTGTGAGAAAAATTTGCATGTGTTGAGAAAAGGTTAATTAGTTTATCGTTTTATCTGATTAAAATTCATGAATTTTAAAACGAGACAAAGATCATAAATTCTCTTAACACGTTGTTGGGAACGTAGAAGAGATCATGGTTTTATTGACCGATCACTTGCATCCTTTTCCTCTCACTTTTTATAAGCTCCACTTCTTCAACGATGAAACTACTAAAATCGACTGTAGCAACGTATTCGTAATTTTCATACAAAAATTTTCCAATTCATCACTGTTTTATTGAATAGTTCCTTGTACAGTCAGTTTGTTGTAACATTTCTCTCTTTTGAAACTAGAACTACTACATTAGCCAACATCGAAAACTTTGTAATTGTTTTTATAAGTGTTATAAAAAATTATCACTTTTTCAAATATCGTTTAACTAATCGTATAGTTTATTATTTCGTCGCTAGATTTACTTCTGTTAAAACAAAAACCGCGAAGTTCATCGATACCAATAATTTTATAAAAATCATCAAAATTCATCGCAACATTGTAATTCCATTAACCAATTATTACTTCCTTAGACATTTTCAAACATCGCAAAGTTTACTATTTAATTACAACAAACGCCAAAGCAATCATGACGAGGCGTCTAATAGACATCCATTATGTTAATTTTTACATTATCAAATTGTTCTCGACATTCGAAGATCGCCATTTTCCTCTGACGTTTGGTTCTGAACGTTTCTACACGTTCAAAAATTAAAGAGAAACTTTTGTTGGTCAAGGTTACTCGAGATTATTCTACAAACACGCGCTGGCGTAATCGTTCAGATATTGAAAAAAGCGATCATATCCGAAATGTTGAACCTAGACCCACATTCAACGACAACCTGTTTGATTAGCATTGCAAAAACTGGTCGTCCAGCAGGTAGCGCGTCGCACTATCTGACACAGAAGATCTTTTTCAATTTGTAGCTTCAAAGTTTCAAGATCTCTCGTCAAAAATTCAGGTTCTTAGTCACCCAGAGAAAGAAAAGAAGACCTTCGTGCGGTTTTTTAACCTCTTGCTTCATAATGTATTGTCAGCACGTAATAAACGCTTTGCACCGAATTTTATTCCGTTTCTTTACGTTAACACAAAATTGTATGATGCCACTGGCTTCATAAACAAGTCGAAAACACATTTCCTTTCTTTTCTGATCTCATTTTTGAAAAGCCTTCATTGTTAACCGCTTCCTAACAGAAGAAGAAACTACATGTTC